GCAGACGAGCGGACGAGCCCTGTCGGCGATGCAGACACGATTTGGAGTAGCTGCAAGCGAAAGCATTAAATCAGCGATGCTTAAAATTTAATTGGACATGAAAAGCATATGCGTGCAACAGTCAAAAAAACAAACGCACACATACATATCTACATATACGCATTTTGCGCACCCTTGGCTCAGACGCCCACGGCAGCAGCAGAAGCAGCACCCAACAACAAGCCGCCGAAACCACAAGAGAATTCAAAACAGATACTGATTTCCTCCCCAAAAATGTGAGAAGGCGAGAAAGTAGTGCAACATCAGCCCGGATGGAGGGAGGAGTGCTGGGTAGGGGAGACATGCAGTTAACAGCTAACAAACAACAATCAAACATGAATAAATAAATACTCGTAAATAGACTTGAGTAATTCAATTTGCAACCTAACGATACACAACAACATCAACAACAACAATAACAACAACAAGAGGAACAACAAATCATAAACCGAGCGGGTCGTCTGAGCGCTGAGGGTGGCTTCGAACTGCTATAGTTGCACATTATGCACAGCCAGTCTGCACCCCACACACACACACACACACACATACACCAACAACCGCAGCATAACAACAATAAATTACATTAATTCGGTTGCAGTGGCGGAAAGATTTTTGATGTTTTGCTACAATGGAAATTTGAATGCAAAAAAGGCGCAAGTGGATGCTGCAAGTGGCCGGCTGTTTTGGTCGTTGGCGGCCAGTGGTCAGTGTAAGGTGCTCATACGTCGCGTTGGACACGTTTGCTGTGCTTTGTTGTATGAAGTTTTACTTTGTTGTTGAACTTTCTACTTAAAAGCCACGCGCTTTTACTGATTGTTAGCTGCCTGCCTTTTTAGTGCCTTTTATGTGGATTTTGTATTGCTGAGCATCTTCAGTCATAACGACGGTAATAATGGCAACAAGAAAATATGTAGCAGTGGAAGCGCCACTTGAGCATTTCACTTTTATGTTATTCTTAATTTCATAAAATATGCTGACTACTTTGAACAAAATGACCATCGTGGTTGCCGGCCATGGCGTTTAATAGCTGCAAAACGCTGTGGGTAAAGTTGGTAGCGAAGCAGAAAATCTGAGTTATTAAGTCTAAGCAGCGTTTAGACGGCAGAGAATACCTGCCTTTTTGATTAGGGAACGGAGTGTAGAGAGTGTGGGCTTGTGTGAATGGTCATTTCACGCACGAACATATCACTAATTGGAGCTTGATGAAAAGGAGCAAACGAAAAATATATCAAATTAAATTTTGGTCTGAGAGGATTTTTTTTTTTTTTTTTTTTTGGAAAAATGGTACAGTAAATATAATAAAATAAAACCCGCATACACTTGTTCGAAGGCTGGTTGCCAAAATGTATCTCAAACTTGCAGATTTTCTAGTAAAAACCCATCTGCTTACACACTTACTCATTTTAACCAGAGAACGTATGTATATGAATATACGTGAATTCGTATACGTTCTCTGTTTTAACTACCAAAGCATATCGGCGATTAGCTCTTTCTGACCCTAGCTGCTTCCTTTCTGTTGCTGCGGCTGATTACCAATGTTTTAGTTCTTTTTGCTATGCTCAATCCGCCCAAGAAGGTTTCGTCAAGAGGGTTCTGAATCGGCAATCCGAGAACGCAATGTTCATAGGTCCGGTACATAATGCTTCTGGTATCAGGTTTGTTGAGTTGGAGGTGTATGAGTAGAGCTGTTGAATAGCATGATAGCCAGTGGCGGCCACTTCTTAGCGATGAGTCAAGTGCTTAGGTCTGATCCTGGATAGAAATCTGTCGTCGAAGCCAAACTATTGGGAAAGGGGAGCTATTTGAAAGAAATGGCGTCTCTCGCCCAAAGTAATTCACTGTCTCAATGAAACCATAGTTTAATCTAACTGGTTCGGCGGAGGCTACACTCGCTAAGCGACTACAGCACGTACAGCAGACTGCCGTAATCGGTATAAGTGGGACACCAACAACCACTCCTACACTAGCGCTTAACTTCAAGCTGAACATTACGCCTGCAGATAATGTATGCAGAATTTTCGCAGCACCAGTGTCCGCTAGGCTCAGGGAAACCAGTTGGTTAACTGGTTCGAAAACTGGACACTCTGAAGTTCTGGCGGGCTTTGTTTTCATTTCTAATCACATAGATTACTGCGCCTCAGAAATGGCTTCCAGTAGCCCCGTTTCTACCTACATTCCCTCATGGGAGGACTGGGTGGGGCGGGATGTATCAAAACTTGAAGGCCGGGTTGGTGGAGTTGTCTTTTGTCGGAAGCTCTCCATTAAGGGAGGACTGGGTGGGGCGGGATATATCAAATTTGGCGGCAGGGTTGGTGGAGTTGTCTTTTGTCGGAAGCTCTCCATCAAAACTATGTTCGAACTTCGGAACTTCCGCCGCATCTTTCAAGCGGAAATAACTGCCATCAAAGAAGTGGTAGACTTACTGGTTAGCATATACTCCGATAATCAGGCGGCTATCAGTGTCCTGAGCGCTATGATGGTGCCCACGAAACTGGTCCAAGGAATGTCTGAGCTCAGCGAGCGCTGGACAAATACTGCCCGGCCAGTCAAAGGAGCTCCTTGTGATTTCCAAGCCGCAGCTCTCGCTGTTAGTGGGGGCTCTGACAGGGCATTCACGCCATAAGGTTGAGAATTCTACCTGATTCCTCCTGCATCAGCTGTCAAGTGGATGATAATTTCTTTTAATTTAAATTTATTTAAATTTTTTTTAAATTTCTTTCTATTAAACTTCCCCGGCCTCGCGAGGCTTAGTTGGAAACATTTTGACTTGCACTTCCTGACAACTCCGGATGAGCACTCCGGCAATAAAGTTAGCGGCATTCGTTATTTCGTAATCGGTTCACGGCGACCGAACGACTGCAAAATTGGTCTCCACTCAGTTTTCATGGTGTCCAAGTGCGTTCTTGTCTGGGACAACTACTATTACCTAACCTTAAACCGGAACGAAGCTGTGTTGCGGTGCTTATGGGTGACTGTTGGCCTCCGAGCAGCATGTAGTCGTTGCGGGTAATACGGCTCGTCTTGACAACATCGCTATCAATGTTTTTCCACACCGCTCTATGTCTTGCCCCATTGCACGGAGTATCTACGTACTCCTCGCTTATCCCACACCGACCGAGCGATCGCCTTTTAAGTTTCTAGCAGTATATTTTCATAAACTGACCAGATACTGCCGGTGGTATGCACTAAGAAAAAGAAAGAATTTCTAACGTGACTATCCTTGGTTCAAGTGCATAAGGTTTCATGGTGAAAATAATTAAGTTTCTGGTAGTGAAGAAATTGGAAAGATCAGAGAGGTAATCAGTTATTTTACCGCAATGGCTAATGATGTTCGTGTTCAACGCCATAATTGCATAATCGTCTGCATAGCTCACTAAGTTAAATAAGTCGGGCAGAAAATGCCACCTTAACGGATCACTTGTTTCAATCTACGCTACTTGGACTTAAAGTTTTGATTTTCACTGACGATTGCCAAAAACACAGATACTTCGTTATCCACCGGAACGTCCGACTTGAAAGCTACGAGTCTGGGATGTACTGATGCGTTCCCATGGCTAACCGTAGCAAATGTCTTTGATAGAGCAACCTATAGTAGAACGATGGTCGACGTTCGCTTAGACCTTGTTTATCTCTGCCCCAATGGTGTTCATTGCTGAGTTGCTGCTGCGCATTTTCTGGAATCATGTTGTTACTTAGAGATGCTTCTTTGAACTGGACAGGAGAAACGTTTTCATAATTTTTGGCCTTAGAAATGCATCTATTCGATTCTCTGTTCCCTAGCTTAGGAAAGGGAATTATGTTACCCGTTTTCACCATCTCTTTTGTGATCAGGGTAGACAGTGATGCGAATGGGATGTCTTGGATTCCCGCAGGTCCTATTTTTTTCGGATGTGCAATGGATTTCGGGCTCAAGAAGCATTCGTATACCCCGATCACTCACGTCTTCTAGTTAGTACCGCCGCTTGTGCAGGGAAGTATTGAAGTATTTTGGCAATCCTGCTGGCTGATTTATTAGCTGCGTGGCCACATGAAAGTGGCTTAAGGGCATTGAGTTTACGGTCAGTGTATTCCGAATCCCACGGAGTGTTTATGTATGTATGTACTTATATTTAGTTTTCGGAGAGGATGGAAATCATGTTAAACTAACAGAAGGCCATGGAAAGTAGTTATTGCAACGGGGTCAGATCAGGGCAGGAATGTTTAGAGCTTTTAGTGTGCATTTAAACCTCTCAGCGCTCCCATCATATTGACCTGGCTGGATTCAATAAATTAATTCCTTTCCAGGGAGCACACAGCCGATTCTGAATAGTTATGAGTTTAAACTACTGCAGCTCTCTCAACTAGCTTATGCTGAGCTAACGCGGGTCACACGAGACTACTTTGTCTTGCCTAGAATTGGCAGTGTTTGACCGCCCAAGACAGCGTTCGTGGAGCGAGTGCTTATAAAGATACTAGTTGCCTCATTGAGGATATCTTTTAAGATCTGACTGTAGTTCCGCAAACTCCGAAGATTACCGCTTAGTTTGGCCTTTAAGATCCATGAGATGTTTACTCAAATACATACATTGAGAGCGGTTGATGTGTGAAGCTACTTAAAAAAAAAACGAAACTCTTGTTCCGATTTCGGTCTGAAGCTTGATCTTCACACATAGGGCCTCATGCTTAAAAAGTGAACTTAAGGTCCGACTCGATTTTCACTACGAATTCTTGAATTTGAGCTCACCTCATCAGTGCAAGAATGAAGTCTGAGCTTAAGCTCATTTTTTATGCAAGAAGCCCATTGACTTACGACAGGATAATCTTCGAGTGAAAAATGTTGTCGAACTCCTGGGGCTGGATTCTTCTAACATATGCGCACTAAAAATTATGTACGCTCTTCATTTTGTGAATCAGGAAGTGGATGAAATAGTTTTAACTGTCAAGAATTGTGTATACTTCTCTTCTGAGAAAACTCACAACATTTTATTCGGTCAGTTTTTGGTTTGTGAGTTTTGCACTCGGTGTACAATGCCTTTTCTAACTAATTTAGCTTGCTTTATTCAGAAATTAGTGCCATCTATTTGTCCAATGCACCTGACTGTGATTATTACATTCTTCTTTTTCGAAAAATCTCCATGACAAAGCCGTAGAAATGAGCCCTTGGCAACTTCGGAGGTTTTCATTAGCTCTGCTGCTACCGTTGAGACTGGCGCAACTATTTTTCCTTTCGTCGACATCAAAAATATATAATATAGTCATCATTTGCAATTTATAAAGGAAAATACATAAATACTTCGATTTTATATACATACATATTTTTAAAGAAATTAAAAAGAAGTCCCGCAAGTACTACCATTTCCATGTTAATTGCCATTAAGGAAAATCACGACACTTCACGCTTGTGCCCATTAAATATGTACATATGTATAAGCCACGCCCAGCCTTCACAGCATAGTCAAATGCCTCCAACACAAGAGAAGCGTTGGCGCTTGAGCAATTCACAGCTGTAATTAAGAAATTGCAAAAATGACAATGAAATCGTCGAAGAGGAAATGCAACCACTTATCGAAATAAGTGCAATTACAACCTTAAATATATATATATACAAATATGCATACGAGTACATACTTGCATTTATGTATATACGATTGCATACACTCACACCTACATACATATGCATCTCGTCCTCCAGAGTAGTCTCTTAAGTGGCACGCTACTTTGTGCGTGTGTAGAATATACCATCACTGCTGACACTTCTATGTTGCACACATTTTTATTGTTTCCTTAATACAAAATTTTGTATAAATTGTTAATCCGAAAAATGTGCTAAATACCCTATGAAGATGCACTTACTCCGTCGGTGGCCAATGTACCTACGCCATTATGTGCGATCAACCAACTGTGTGTGAAAGCATCACCTTTTGACGCCGCTTAATCTAGCTGGATTAGCTTTTCCGTGCATTCCCCAATGATAGCGCGTTGTAAATTATTTGCAACCGGTTGGTTGTTTGGTTGCTGGTGGGTTTGTGGGTTTGTGGGTGGGCAAAGTGCCAGCCAGCAACTAGCGCGCTTACACGTCGCCCACCAACTAATTTAGCTAATTGCAGCGCCGTCTGGGATTGCTTGTGTTATGTAAGTGTTTACTTTTAACACATTGGTTACACATGAAAACACAAGCGGGGCGCGCGGTGTCCTTCCAGTGGGAAATATTCAAAGAAGCCGCATTTAATAGAGAAACAATTAAACAGCTGATGTGTCAAAACAAATAGAGGTAGAATAAATACTTGCAATTTTGTCAGAGAACTTATAGAATTCATATGCTTCCTTATTGCACTTCCGACGCTGGCACATTCATATACAAATGAATTTCCGTTGTTGCCTTCAAACTGCTAATACTTTCAGCAGTGGCAGGTAAACTATTCGCTTTTAACAGTTTGGATGGCACTAGATAGAAGAGCACGGTTTGTGTCGAACCTAAACTGTTTCATTGGAGACATCTGAAGCTAACTAGTAAACGAGAGTTGCCGTTGTTTACCAAAAATGCTTCTCGCAGCGCCCTCTTCTAGCAACGTCGACATTTAAATTTATAAATTTTTAACGGCGAACAATGTCGGTACAGCAGCGCAGAAAGAACCTGGTAATGCAGTAGACGGTAGGTGACTACGGTGCACAGAGTTGCATTATTAGTATTGCAAAACTAACGATAATCAGACCATCGATAGGATTTCGTATAATTTTTTAAATTATCGGTAGTATGGAATAGTGTTTTTGCCCAATTTGATATGCACATTTATTTAAACTTCCAAAATACATTCGAAAATTGTAAAGCACTGGACGCATTTTTTAATTTGTAACGGTTAAGTTAAAGGTAAAGTAACTAAAAATTTGAAATGATTTAAAATTGACAACAATCGTTGGTTCTTGGTGAATTTAATATTTTTCGGTTTGATATATATACTATACCATAAAGGGTATTAACGGAGCAAATTAAAATTTTAGAACAAAAAACCTTTGTTTTTATTTACAAATAAGTGGTTCTTGTTTACCTTATATTTACAAACAATGATGAGTGGTAGTGGAGTTTTTCTTTATTCTTTTAGAACCTCTTCATATCAATAGCTAAAAAAATACTATTTCTACTTATATGTATGGACAAGAGAAATCCATCAAATAAAAAAACTTTCATAAATAATGAATCACATGTCTGTCGGACTATCGATAGTGACTAAAAACAATCTATCGTGCCGAAAAAAAGGCTATCGATAATAATTTTACAAGCTCTAGCGTTTTGTGCCAGAGAACGTAAGTTAAATTTTACGTTCTCTGTATTCACGTCAATAAAAAAATATTTCCGTCTGCGTCAGCTAAACAATCAAGAAATTAATTAATATTTACATAGCACGCAATTCAATGGTTTTTTAATCGTCATAAAAATTACAAATTCTTTATAGTGAAATTCGGATAGTGATCTCTCGCAATGTGCTAAATTCATTTGTATATACGCATGTGCCATGTGTTTGTGTATACCTGTGCGCCCGTGTGTCTCCGCGTTCGCGTCCAATTCGGTGTATCTATTGTCGTCGTCCGTCCGTCCGTACCGTCGTGCAACCCGCACCATTCCCTCCAGATGCGATGAATCATACCATTTCGAATGAGTATAATTGTAAAAAATGCTAAAAGGCAACTGAAAATAATTCTGGCGGTCGCTACACAAACAACAAATCGAGAATCCAATTAGTGCAAACCAGGAAAGGAAAATGCATTTGAATGCAGTGTGACAAGGTAAACTGCGATTTGTGAATGTACAGCTTCAGTAGGTGAACTGCTGGTAGCAGTTGTAGCAAAAGTCAGCGTAGTAACAAATGCATTTGAATGGAGTCGTAAGTAAGTGCATAGCTACAACGGCGCAACAAAGTGCAAGGAAGCACATGTGGAAGCATTAGTAACCGAGTGAAAGTCATTAATTTAACGTGCAGTCAACAAAGCATACAGGCAGCTAAAATAATTGGACTTCATATTGGTGCCGCGAGCAAAAATGAAAATGGTCAAATTGTTCTTCAGGTAAGCAACATCATTTCAACTACATATGCAGGTACTCATTTATTTCTCAAACTTTATATGCTTTTGTTTATATGCCGTCGCACCATGAACGCTATGAAATTGTTAAAATCATTATGAATGAAAAGCGCAGCGTAAATAAAACCGCAAGCACCATTAAAAAGCCGTATACTACAAGCATGCTTTGGGAATTGGCGACAACTTCCAAGCCTACACACCGCCTCCCATTCTCAAAATGCTGTAGCTGGTAAACGGTTATACCGGTGCTGAAGCACTACTCTCAGCTTTGCGCTACGTTCTCTGCGAGTGTCTTCAGTGAATGTCGTGTTGTGGTTGTGCTTCTGCTGGCTATGGTTGTGCGTGCCTACGCGCTGCTCCGTGCGCTGGTTTATTTTCGTGAATGACGTAATGCCGTCAGCTAACAGCGAGCAAAGTAGTCGAACAACAAGCAATCAACCAACCAAATAGCCAAGCGACGCAACCCAACGGACCCAACAGCAAAAGCAACAACCAACAAACTGGCGCAATGATCCAACTAGCTATTAAACTAAATCCATGTATATTTTGAATATAAATGTTATGAATGTACACAAAGAACAAAGCCAACAACAAAAAGCGACACAAGCATGGGGCAAAAATGCGGTTGTCTTCGGTTGGCGTCTGACTTTTGCATATATATTTTTGGTTTGTTTTGTCGAACGAGGCTGGTTTCTTTCTTTTGCAGCGCTTAGTATGTAGCACGCTAACTCCTTTTATTGTTATTTGTTTTAATGTTACTGAAGCGGAGGCGCTGCAATGGCTGTTGTGTGGGTCGCCCATAATTTTTGGCTTTGCTCTTGCCATCATCGCTTTTCTTAGGTACTTCCTCGTTCTTACGGTTCCTTGCAGTTTGTGGTTGTGGAAAAATCGCCTGAAGTTTTGAAATTTGGTCAATGACCTACCACAGGCTGTTCCTGACGTGTTCTGCTGCTTATTATTTTTACGACGATGACGTAGTTAATGCTCCGGCAGTTAGATATCGATTAGTGGGTAATTTGTGGTTTGGTAGAAGGGGTATTTGCTAGCGTGGTCCCTTTTGCTACTTTATAAGCTTAATTTTTGATTTCACAACTTAATCATCATATCATATCTAATTGCATTTGTCTTAGTAATTCATTGATTTACTGATTAGTGCAAATACTGTCTATTGCCTGCAATTAATGTTGAGCTCATTTGATCATTGTTTAAAAATACTATATAATTACTGTGTTTGTGAAACTTTCCATAGAGACATTTTGCAGTTTGCATATTAAGCTCTTGCAGTCCAATTCATTCGTTGGTGCAGTATACGTTTAGCTGTGAAAGTGAATGGTGTGGTAACAATTAAACTAGTTTGGAATAATTCTTTGGGAGGATTTATGGTATAAACACTTGAAGGTGAGAAGTATCTAAACTAAAAGAGTTGTACGTCTATGGAGTGATACATCATATTCTCAGCTCATCGGAAGGATCAACCAACCAACACCAACAAGAATTACTTGTTAGAACAGTCGGGTCCACGTAACCGGAACGTCCCAGATTTGTATCTGGCCAAGGCCTGTCATTCCACTATCACTACCCAAAAAACTCTTTGGGGAATTTGTATGCTGTTACAGCAACAAGAATTATTGCATTTTTTTTTTAATATTTAATAAATCTTCAACTAAAAACAAAACTTTGCTCATTTAGAGACAAAGCGCTTGCATAATAGTTGGAATTTTAGGTCCTACGATAGTGTAAATCGTCATAGGCTGTGCTATTGTATAATCTTTGAATATCTGGTTTTTCCAAATTGAAAAACTGCTAACCATTACTTGGTTAATGAACAGTCGCTACTATATTTGATACACTTTTAATTTTTATTACATCACAGTTTCTTTAGATCTTTCCCCTTGGTTGAGAGCGTCTTTGGTGAAAGATGGGTAGCGAGTGTAGGGTCTGAGCAGATATTGGCAGTATTGTCGGGACTGTTTTCGCATGTGTAAAGAGTCGCTGACCTTCGGTCCGATCCTTCACCTTTAGGGTTTTAAGCTACTGCACAATAGATGCCATTACTCTGTGTGCTGAGTTCACCCTTCGCAAAAATTATCGAAGTGAGGGGGTCCTTATTTTAAGTGATAGTCAGGCGGCACTCAAAGCTCTCTCATTATTCGAGGTCGAATCCTTAGTTGTCCCTAGAGTGCACAGCAAAATACCAAACTAAAGAAACAGCGCTGGCGGAACACTATGGGTCATCGTTACTCTAAAATCTTACCAGGAGGGTACAATCTGAAGACAGGTTACTCATGGGTCTCTCTAAGAGCGAATCTCAGAATTACCTCACGCTTTTTGACAGGCCGTTGTAGGCTGAGGAGGTCACTTGTATAATCTAGAAATCTTGTCAAGAAATCTAATTTTATTTATTCACAATCTAGAAAATATAACAATTTTCTTACAGACTACGTACAATTAACAAAGATCAATTCAAATAATTAAACAACCCAAACAATAACAACATAAAATAAGTTTTTGATATTGAAAAGTCTACGTCTAAAGGTTTTGGAAACAGATTCAAGGTTTTTAGGCCCTAGGAATTGGGGAATAAGAGGCATATAAGGTAAATGTACATAATTCCGGTGTACCAATGATTTTTCTGACGATTTAATTTTTTTGCGTTAAAACTACCGAATGCAAATTAAAAATGTTACCTTTAAATCGATCAAATAAGATTAGTTTCCAATTATTGATAAAAGAAAATAACTATAATTACTATTTATATTAATAAATGTAATGACACCTTCATATATTTCTAATTACGTGGCAAATATTCTCTGATGTGACTAATTCCGGCCATGCAATAAATATACAGATTTCTTGTTATAAAAGGAATAATATCTTTGTTATTGAACTTAAAAAATAATAATTTTAATGTAAACAAATCAAAATCTGTGTTTACCAAAAAATTGTAAATATTTGTTTGTAGAAATGCTGTTTTTAAGAACTTGATCACAAAAAAAAGTAATTCCAAGATAATTTTCAAAATAAATAATATTCAATGTTATTAAAAATTATTTGACGAGCTCCGAACTTAAAGAAAAATGTAAAATCAATGGAATAATTTTACAATGCAATAGCAGTTCTTTTTCTACCAAGTACGTTTGAAAACTTAAATCATTAAATGTGTAAACTCCGCGGCTGTTGAGTTGTACTGGTGGTTCCAATCTTCTCAGGACATCTGAAGCGTCGTAGATGAGCTGTTGACGACGTCATTTTTTCCTGATTGGTCATCTATTGTACTCATTATCAAGGTACGGATTTTTAGGACCTAAAAACCTATAAAAAATGCAAAATCAAATAGCGAAGTTGGCTGGAAAAGGCACTAGAAATAGCAAAAAAGGCAAAAGAAGGCATTAAAAAAGGGCAAAAACTGAAAAATAACATTGGTTTACAGGAAAAATATTCAATGGACGCTACTATTAAATTCCTATATAGAATTGCTCGCTCATTCCGTTAATTTTTTATTCTATAGATAAGTTTTCGAGATATTTGGAGTTTATCGTTATTCAACAAAAAAAAAAATCACGTATATCTTACGGACCAATTGACGTCTGACGCACTACACTTTTCGAAATCCTAAAAGTTAACTATGGCATTAATTGTAGCTTTTTTGTTGTAAATTTGTTGTGGAAAGAAAAAATTTGTAGCTTTCGTTTTGCAGGGTTGTGGTCAGCTGATTAAGTCTTGGGACAACTTAACTAGTTTTGGCAATTTTCCTTTTGTTTATTTAATGTTTATCTTTTTTTATATATACCTAACCAGCGCCACATAAATCCACATTTCAAACTTGGTACAAAAATTATGAAAATTGAACAAACTTTAACATTTGCTCTCAAAAATTGTAAACTTTTTATTTAGAGTTTTTAGAAAAAATTTTGGGTATGCAGTTTGTAGCTAATTAAATTTTTGAGACACGGACGTGAATTTCTAAATTTTCGCTCCTTCGGGGATCTTTAGGATCCGAATGGATATGGCGTTCGGGCTTTGTTATGGATACCTCGGCCATAACAAGTAAGCGATGGTGGCAAGAATTATAGAAAACAAAATTGTGCTTTCCCAACAGCGATGTCATTTCACAAGTAAAAGTAAACAAAGTCGAATAGGAGTATGAAAGAAACGTGGTTTCAATATTTTAAATTGTAAAAATATATGGCTATGAAAAAGAATTAATAAAGAAAATGTTTATAAATAAATTTAAAACACATTTTAATATACCACGCTTCTATAAATGGACTAAGAAGTGGAAAATAATATTTCGCAGTCCCATCGAATTTGTTTTGATAACTTTTAATTTTGAAAATTTGCCAAAAGTCATTATAAACCATTTATGAGATAGAAAATGAAAAATGTGGCCTGCGAATTATATTTTTCTACTTTTTTGTCCGTTTATAGACACGTGGTGTAAGTACTAAACAGTTTACCTATGTGGTTTTATTTATTTTGTACTTGTCTGTATAAAATGTCTAAAAATAATTCAACGATATTCTGATATTTATTGTGTTTTATCACACTGGCTTTATTTTCTCTTACAAATACTTAACTGCTTCCGGCAAGGTAGATGTTTAGACTAGTTTTACTAATTCTATATTCTTTTAATGTGTTCCAGCACGTCTACGATTTGCAGGTTTTGCAGGATTTAGGCCAAAGTCGTTCCCGTACGCCAAAAATTCTCTATCTGGGAACACTCTCGTGAGACTAACTGAGCAACTGTTCCCAGAATGAAGTCCGCAGTTTTTCTTCTGGCAAATTCATGAAAAGTGTCAAACGATAGGCAGAGTTGCATTAGTATTCAAAAAAAAAAAAAGACCGCGGTGAAAGCAAATAACCTTACATTTGTTAAAAAATGGAATTAACAATGAAATATTCCGATATATATGCAATTATTATTAATTGTATAGATTTAATAGTTATTTAGTGATCTTTCAGCCAAATCAGTCTTGTACTAATTA